GCAACGACTGGCAGCAACTCAAGGGTATTGTGCAGATCCCTGGGTGAGAAAATTATGATCAGGGTGAAGAGTGTGGGCATGGAAATCATAGCACGGGCGTGAGAAGTCTTACCAAGTGAAGTGGTGCACTTGATAATTAATTGGGTATAATATACAGCAATTACTAATGTTTTATATTCCAGATGAGAAATTAACAGAGAATTAATAAAATAAAATAGACTTCAAAAGATAATTGAATAAGGGATAGAAGATAGTGCCTTTCTTACACTAAACCAAACAAACAAAAACAAACTAACAAAAACTCACTGCCATTGAGTCAATGCTGACTCATAGCGACCCAACAGGACAAGGTAGCTCAGTCCCTGTGAGCTTCCAAGACTGTCCCTCTGTCTGGGAGTAGAAAGTCCTGTCTTTTTCCCAAGGAGCAGCTGCTGCTCTCAAACTGCCAACTTTACCGTGAGGAGCCCTACAGGTAACCACTAACGTACGAGACAAACTGGCCCACCAAAGCCTGTGGGATTGCCCTTCCACAGACAACTCGAAGCATATGCCCACACTGGAAATCAGAGAAGACGTCAAGCTCTATAGGTAAGATCATAGTAAGACAGATCACTAGAGGTGTCAGGTAGTTTGTAAGATAACAGGACCTATGGCAGGTTCTTAAAAATTAAATTCAGAGGTGAAATAAAGCAAAGAAAAGAGGAAAAGCAGAACGTAAAGTCCACGGCTGAGAAGGGGTTCAGTGCTGAAGAACCTGAAGAAGAAAAAACTGACGAGTATGGTGCCAGGTGTGTATCATGGTGAGTACAAGAATGAAGAGCGCGTGCTAAAGCTGGTGGGCTGATGATTAGATAACTCTTGCGGATGCACTTTAACTAATAAATTGTATGATGTTAATTATATGCCCACAAACTTTTGTAGAATAACAACAAAATACCAGGAGTCTTCTGAAATTTGTAGCACAATGGAATTTTTCTACCAACTTTTGGAAGCCTCTTGCAATTGTAATTATTTTGAATTTGTACAAGACAGTTACATACTTTATGAATTCTTCACTGAACTGTATTGTTTATCTCAATTGAATGTAAAGCATTTGCATTGATGGCTTCTCTAAAATGTTATTTTTGAATAAATTTTAGATAACTTAAAAAAATACCACCAGCAGATCAAAAATTTGTTTTGTATTTGATAATTAAAAGATCATGGATAACTTACTAGAAATGAATTTTAATCAGAAGTGGAGGCCAAACCACATTACAAAGATAGACGATGATTTCATAGTACAATTTTGAGATGATTGGTAGAAAAAAAATTGTTCTCAGAGCTGGGTAAAGAAGATGCTGTGTCAGAAGAACAGTCTTTGTTTCTATAGGTGAAATAGCATCTATTGGGTAGAGGTAAAACTGCTATGGTGTATTTGAAAGAAGATTGGAAGCAAATATTGTTAACTGAGGTACGAAAATGAATGGAGTTGTTGTCAGGAGTTTCGCAGTATGAAAAGGTAAGGGAATCTATAAAAGAGTATTAAAGTAGGGAGAGAAGAAAAATGAACTCATGTAACTTTAATCTCAGCAAAATAGTTCTGATATATCATAGAAGCAGAGCTCAGGGTCTCATTCATAGGAGAGTTGGCACAGAGAGTGCTTATAGTTTGAAGGGACTCTCAGGATTAGACTTGGAATTGGTTCCTTAATAACAAAGTTTCCAAACGTTGCTCCATAATATTAGTCAGATTGAAACTGAAAGCAAAACAAATAAGAAATCACCAGCTGAAAAATAAAGCAGGCTGGAAGAAGAGTGTCAGTGGCTGGCCATGGCATTCGGTTCGTGTTTGCCATCCCGGAGGCTGTCTGGGATACTGAAGGTGGCTGGGGACCAGGAATCAAGTGTAATAGAATACAAACTTCCTCATGAAGTAGAGTGAGGGGAACAGTGGGTATGGGGAGTCAGGAGAGTGGGTTTGGTAAATCAGAATACTTTTGAGAATTATATCTTGAAGAATGAGTTTAAATAGTTAATAAATCAAGAAATGTCTGATGACTAGAGGAAAAAGAGATGCCTTCATACATTTTTTTTAACTTGTCTTTTGAATTGTGTCATCGAATAGAAGCTCTCACTATGGATTCCAGGATCTGTCATGAAAATAGAAAGCCAACTGAGTGCGTATCATGGAGACTGAGGACAGTAGGTCTTACCTCTCTCAGAGGATCGTTGAGTTCACTGAGAATATTTTCTTCATCAAAGATTTTGCCTTGGTACCTGTGTTCATAGTAATCATGGATCTTCTGGCGCATATCAGCTGGTAACTTATGGAATGACATGTATTGCTCCACTTGTTTATACTGTAAGGAAAGGAAAATGGAAAATAGAAACCATGGTTATATGAAAATCACCATATCATTTTGTACTGTGATAATTATTACAAAATTTAAGTTTCTGAGTAACACAATAGAACCCTTACTCTGTATTATTTTGTCACATACTGTATTGTATAATGCATATTATTTAAACATTTACTGTAAAGACTGGGGATTTTATAGTGAAGAGGAACAAAAGGATTTAATAAGTTTTATAAGTGAACATAAGCTTGCTTATAAACACTCCCATTTATGAACTACTTTAATTTAATGAATGCATACTTCTAAGGTAGCTCTCAATTATTTGTGTGTGTGTGTGATGAAAAATAGAAAATGAAAGATAGTGAGAGGACAAGAGAGTAAACATAATGTTATAGTATATTTATTTATTTTGAGCTTCAGTAAAGGTAGACATGTCGAGCCCATTTGGTTCTTCAGTCCGAGGAAGGATCCCAAGAAACCTAGATGAGGTTGTGAAGTGCGAGCGGGTCACTTCCAGCTCAGAGCGACCGTGCACAACCATAGAGGTAAGCACTGCTGGGCCTGGGCCAGCTTTACATGGGTTCACATATTTGAGGCCATCACTGCAGTCCCTGGGTCAATCCATGTCGTCGAAGGTTTTCCTCTTCATCTTTGCACCTCGACGTTACCGAGTCTGGTGTCCTCCAGAGACTAGTCTCTCCTGACAACAAGTCCAAAGTACGGGAGACAACGTCTCACCATCTTTGCCTCTAAAGATCACTCTGGCTGTGATTCTTCCAAGACAGTTTCTGTTTGTTCTTTTGGTAGTTTATGGTACTTTCAATATATTTTTTGCCAACACTATAACTCAAATACATCGATTCTTCTTTGGTCCAGAAATAGACTAAGGCAAGAGTAATTTTAAGTATTATAAAACAAGGTTTGATTTTAGACTTTGGGGAAAATATATCAGAACCCATTTTTTTTAAATCTAAGGCAAGAGGGCTTGCTAGTTGTTTGAAGGTTGTGGATCTAAAGGTAATACAGATTCCCTGAAGAAGTAAGTGAATATATCAGCCTTCCACATAATTACAGAATTTTATAGTTGAAAGCTAGCTTAGATATAGACGTTCATTCAATTCAACTCACTCTTAAATTGGAGTGTTTATAAAATCACCAGGGGTGGTGGTAGCTTGTTTGGAATGCAGAATTTTATAGTTGAAAGCTAGCTTAGATATAGACGTTCATTCAATTCAACTCATTCTTAAATTGGAGTGTTTATAAAATCACCAGGGGTGGTGGTAGCTTGTTGGGAATGCAGATTTTCTTTCCTAGCCCCAGAGACTGATTCCTTTGATGTGATATTTCTCTCTCACCCTCAAATTAACTATGAGGAAGCATCAAGTTCATGGGAAACTAAAATTAAAAGATAATGGGATTTTTCCATGACCTTTTTGAAACCCCCTAGTGATACCCACAATAATCAAACAGGAGCAATGAAATCATCTAGGAGTGGAAGATTAGAAATCTCAGGCCTCTTCCCGGACTTATTGAATCGTATTTGCATCTTAATAATCCCCAAGTACTTGTTTGCATAATAAAGTTTGAGAAAATTGTCTAGGTGTTCCTAATGAAAGTGATCACACCTGGCCAAAAAAAAATTAAATTTAACTATTGTACAGATAATTAAATTGAGTACAAATTGTAAAAGTTAGCAATAAATCAGGAATGAAATCCTTCCTTGAAAACCAATGATATTTTATATTATATTTTATTTTATATAGAAAGAGGCACCCTGGGGGTGCCGTGACTAAGTGCTTGATTATGAACCAAAGGGTCTGGGTTGAACCCACGAGCTGTTCCTCAGTTGTATGATATGGCAGTCTGCTTCCATAAAAGACATGGAATCTTGTAAACCCTAAGGGGTAGATATGTTCTGTAGGAGCTTCATGAGCCTGATTAACATGGCTTTTTTGTTTTGTTTTTCCTTTTTCTTTAATGGGGAGGGTGGCTGGTATTACAGAAATACAAAATTATTTCCATGATAATAGAAGTATGATCAGAAGATCTTGGCCTCCTGATTCCTTGTCCTTAAGGACTATAACTATAGTTATTGTAAAACTGTAGAATTGTAACAGCCATATGTACTGAGCAACAGGAGATACTGTATCCAATTTGAAATGCTTTCCTTACATAAAAAAATGTATAGTTTGGACTGTCCTTTTGGGAGACACTAAAGAAATACTACTTTTGGTCATCAGACTGTGCCCTAAAATATTTCAAGTTTGTGGGTCATATGGCTCTCTGAATCGATTTGATTATGACAAAGATTGTCCCATGTAGGCATCAGTGCTAGGACTGTCATTGTGTGTAAGTGGCTTCTCCTACATACTTGAGGATTTGGCTTTTTCACTTTTCTGGAGTTCAGAAGCTAAATTCCTGCCTAACCTCAATATGTTCTGACAGCCCACTCCAAGAGACCGAGGCTTGGGTTTCCCGATTCCTCAGGCAGCTGGCCCATACAATGAGAGGTTCTATTGTCTTCTCTATAGGACTGCTGTGTACAGTTAGACTTAGAGCTGGGCTGGAAAAAACTTTCTCTCTAGGGATGCTTATATGTCTGGTTTTTGCTCTTGATCGAGATGAGGACAATACGATTTATGATGTACTGTTTAGGGCCTGAAACTCCCTCGAATACCCCTAAGGCTAGCTTCTGCACTGATGATTTGCAGCAGGTCTACGTGGCTGCAAACCTACCTTGACTATTTAAAGACATGGTGAGAGCTTTTTCAGTAAACTCTACTAGAGCTAAGATTCTTTGCATAGATTTGGGTGATTCAAATATTCCATGGTCTAGGTCCTCCAGTATTGGACCCATGGGGATCCCCTGCTTTGGAACATCTCTTGGACGACTGATGCATGACTGCATTCTTTCTCTTGTTGCACTGAATTCTTTCTCTCTAAACAGAAGTGCCTGGTGTGTATACTTCGTGCTATCTGGCAATTCCTGTGAAGTATCTGAACTGGAGAAATCTATACAAAAACTTTAGTCAATAGCACCGCACCCTTTGACACTCGCTGGTATGCATTGATAGAACTCATATCAATTCTTATAATATAAATAATCTAACTTCTTTGAAGACTAGTAGGTATCTGGCTCTTATGAACACCATCTGCTTAATTTTTCAGCCAACTGCCTGCCCCAAACACTAATTAGAGTGCACAGAATCTTGAACCCTAATTGGGGTACTGAGCTCTAAATTTTTATTTCCCGTATATATTTGAGTATAAGCCAACTCGAATATCAGCCAAAGCACCTAATTTTACCACAAAAACTGCATTAAAAGTATACTGAAAAACCTGGCTTATACACGAGTATATATGGTAGATATATTCATTAGGTAAATATTTCCTTAGGAAATTGAGCATTCTGAAGCCTATCACACCACTGGCAACACCCACAAACTTTTACAAAGGCACATTCTCAGTCTCCATCCACAAACTTTCAGGTTGAAAAAATCTCGTGTGAGGCCAGCAGTCTGTTTTAATAGACTCCCACACACAACTTTCTGAACCACTGATGTTTTACATATACCTATATATTGTTTTTAGGTCTCGTCAAGTTGACTCTGAGTCATAGTGTCTGTCTGTCTGTACTACAGAGGGAAGCACTGTCTGACCCCATACGATCCTCCCCAATGTTCTTGTATTTGAACCTGTCATTGCAACCATTGTGTTCATCGTTTTGGTGAGAGCCTTCCTCTTTCCACTGTGTACTTCACCAAGCACACTATCCTTCTCCAGGGACTGCTCTCTCCTGACAACACGTCCAAAGTATGTATAAAGTTTTATATCAATGGTATATAACTCTATATCCCCAATATGTTTTTGTCCTCAGAGAGGAGGAAGTAAGTTTGAATGAGAGAAGGCAAATGAAAAAAATCCATTTTTACAAGATGCCTGCAGTATCTCTTAATACTTATATGTAGGTCAGGCATCCAGGGTGGAATTGTACTTACGGCCATTGATTAGGAATCACTAAGAGGGGGTGTGTCCCGTAAGAGGGAAGAAGTAGATGGTAGGTTTAAAAGGCAGCTAGGTGACAGCAAAGCCAGACAAATATTATTAGCAGAATCCCAAGAAGGATAAAGTTTCAAGGGGGTGATGGACAAAATAAACTTGTATTTTCAGAAAAGAGATCGTGGACAGGGGTCAGTGATATCAGAAATTAAGTACTACATAAAACTACAACCTTTAGTCCCTTTACTTGTATGCCTTCATCGTGTTCCCTAATTTCATCTCCTTTCTCTGGTTTGATTTGTCACTAGTGATACTTGTCTTTGGGGTCCTCTTTGAAATTTTATGCCATACATTTACAAATCTATTTTATGTTTAGAAAACTGTAAACAATCCTAGATGAAGCAATTTATTTCCTCCCTACGCTTATGCTTTCTAATTTTTTTGTCATCTATTCATTTAGATTGCAGAAGTGCATTATTATCTTTTGCCAGTAATTGTGTCTTCCAAACTTGGTTAAAGGTGAAGCTGAAGCTAAAATCCCATAAAACATATTTTACGTGACTGTGACTGTACATACAATTACTATAATGACTTTTCCTTTTGTAACTCAGAAGAGTTAACTACCTTTGTTGTTGGTAAATTTTGCTTCTACTTCACGTTTCTTTCTTTCTTTTTTTTTTTCTCACCATACCTAGACCACAGATATCTACTGGATGTTTTCCAGAAACTAGAGCCCACAACACAGGAATCTAGGACAGATAAACCCCTCAGGACTGATAAGGAGAGTAGGAAAACCAGGAGGGGAAGGGAAAGGTGGGGGGACAAAAAGGGAACCTATCACAATGATTGACATATAACCCCCTCCATGGGGAATGGGCAACAGAAAAGTGGGTGAAGGGAGACAGTGGTTGGTGTAAGACATGAAAAAAATGATAATTTATAATTTATCAAGGGTTCATGAAGGAGATGAGCTAATACCAAGGGCTCAAGTAGAAAGAAAATGT